GCTGCGCTCCTTCAGGGAGGAGCTCCGGCGCAGGCAGGGCGTCTCTCTGGCCTGTTCGGGGGCCGAGGAAGGGGAGTCCTCCTCTGGGGGCCACTTGGGTCGGACGGGCTTGCTGGCAGAGCCCCCGTCTGGGGTTGTTGTGGCGCCACTGAGGCCGGTCCCGTCCTCCAGCTCCGTTCGTGGCGGCCAGGAGATCTTCAGCCTGCGGGTCTCAGTGGGTCTGTCGGACTTCTCTGCCGATCCCTGACCCAGAGCCTCCATAGTGGCGGTCAGCACGTTGACCTTGGCCAGCGGGGAGTCCTCCACGCTGGGGCTGTCCAGGTCTGAGACCGGGCTCTGGATCTTCGGCCTGGTCTGAGTGTTGGACTGCGGCGAGGTCTCACCGCAGCTGTCCCCTTTGCCCTCCCACAGCTCTTTGTGGGGCCGGTGGCCGAAGCCCTCGTCGTAGTTTCCTTTGGCCTTGAAGAGTTGGCAGAAGTGCGGCTTGCAGTAGACGTTGTTGTGAAGGGAGGCGTAGTTCACCAAACTACCCAGAAGGCAACACAGACAGAGGAGAGGTTATTATAAAGGCTACAGAGGGGAAATGATATTACATTGAGTGAACTGATGATCAGTGTACTAGAGAATATTGATGATGTGATCTTGTTTTAACGATTGATGATTGGTGACAACATCTGGATGTGCTCCATGTTTCACTGATGGGGTTTAAATATTTGTCTTTAAATTTTGGGCTATTAATGATTTAAAGCGGCTCAACAGAGCGATGTTATGGTCATTTGGATGAATTTCGAGCAGATTATTTCCTGTGAATATTGATCATTGATTAGTTTTGCCGATATTTTCAGGAACTTTTTGTATAGTTCTCAGTCTGCATTTTGCCTATTAAACATGTATGATTGTTAAAAATGAAGTGTTTTCTTCTTGACTTGTATTACATCTTTGGTTGTTTGTTCAAAGTTCAGATCCTGAATAATAATCTAAACTTTAAAACAACAATTGCATTTAGTTTTTTTTCCCCACAGCAATGATGCAATAATACTGAGATACAGTCCTACTGCGTGTTCACCCTCTTATACCCGTATAAGGCCTTGTGGCCCCTAGTGGAGGTCCTGAACCCTCTATCTCTATAGATATATCTATATCTATATCTATATATAGAGAGAGATCTATCTATCTATAACTTTAAAGCTTTAACAAAATTGTTTACATAAGTTTTGTGAATATGTATTTAAACTTCTGTTCACAACCAAACATAAAATTACATATGTGTCTATATATTTGTACACAGCTGATGTATGTGTTCTTCTTATAATAAAATAAAGCATTCAAATTAAACCTCAGTAAATTCCTGTGGAGTCTCACCTCAGTTTGGTGTTGCAGTGTGAGCAGCGGAAGCAGGAGCTGTGGTAGACGTGCTGGTTGGCCACCAGCCTCTCCAGAGGATAAACCGTCTTCAGACAGGACACACAGGTCTCCCTCACAGGCAGCCGGAAGCTCTGCGCACACACAGTAAATTCACACAGTAAATACACACAGTAAATACACACGAATGTGTACTTTCTGTGTGAAGGCGGGTCTGCGAGGACTCACTTTGGAGGACTTGGGCTGAGAAGAGTCTCTCTGATTGGAGGACACAGGGGTGCCAGAAGCCGAGCCTGTGGGATCACAATGTGAGCGGAGTGAGAACCTGCAGTGACGAATTCTGAACACTAGATGGAGCCGTTTCCATCTTTAATAACACAAACTCACACGTAGACGCTCAAACATCCACAGAGTTTAGTTTCTATGTTTCTGAATAACTCAGACTGTTCTTACAGACCGGATCCTCTGTATTTCAGACTTTAATCTACTTTAGGCGTTTAAAATGTTCTTTTTCCATTACAAACATCCAAACAGCAACTCTAATGATGCCCTAGCTGCCAGGTTCTCGTTAGGAGAACATTCCTGTCGTCTAGAGTCATACAAAGACGTGGAAACTAAATTACCGTTGCTCTCGGAGGTAAAACTTTTCCTGCCGTTTGGTTCAGACTCTGGACTCTGTAACAGAAGAAGGATATGAAGAACAACAACAACAACAACAACAACAACAACTTGCACAATCTCAATTTGTACAGTTTAGTTTACACTGTTTAAATATGTTTGCACTCCATATCTCTTACTTGCATACTGCACATAGTGTATATATTTTTTAGTCTTTATATTTTCTATTATATCTTTAGAATATTTTTACTTTGTATTCTTTATTGTACTTTTTACACTACATTTTCCTCTGAGCTGTTGTGTCACATTTGAATTTCTCCCACAGGGGATCAATAAAGGAATATCTTAGATTACAGCGTTCCCACACATCCTGGACAATCTGGAAATGTATTAAAATGACCAAATATCCTGAAAATAATCTGTTGTTCTGGAAAATGTTTTGTCAGGAAAACTGCAGTTTATTAGTTTTAATCTGTTTTAATTTGTTTCGTTTTTAATTGTTGATTTGAATTCAGTTTAGTTTTTATTAGTTTTAGGTGGGGTTTTTTTACGATAATATGGGGGCTAGTGGTCAGGGGCCAGATTTTTATATTTTCACAGAAGTTTATAATATGTATTACAATACAAACACACTGACAGTCATATACATGTTCCAGTGTCAAAGATTTGCACCATTGTTTCCTCACACTTGTGTTGATGAATTTGACCAAATTGACTAAAACTAAAAGACATTTCTTTATTCTTCATTACTTTTCCTTTAGTCAGTTTTGTAAGTTCACAATAACATGCCGCTCAAAGTTTAATCAGTTAAACAGGCTGAATGTATTCAGACAGCAGAGGGCAGCATCTGAAGGTTTGTGGAGCCAATAACAAGAATCTGTTAGGTTGAGTTAAAGAACTCTGCATGCATCAAGTCTTTCATTTATTAAATTGTTCTGCACCACAAAGTCAGACTCACCATGTCCAGAGTGCACGGAGGAACGTTCTCCTTCTGCTTCCCACAGAAAGTGTCCAGCTGATCACTCTGAGGAGGAAAAACAAGAGTTCACTAACATAAAAACCCCACAAGAAGCTCCTTTAAAACCTCCATCCATCATTTCTCTGCCTGAGCCGCCGTGGCCTCGTTATTCGCGGCCGTCACCGCGATGAGATGCATCTTGGCCGCCTGCGGTCCAGAGTTAGTTTGGGTGATTGGATTTGACTACAGAACAAAGACGTCACCTTGAAAAGCTTTAGAGCCTCCAACCTCAGCTACTGCGGCACTCCTCAGTCCTAAAAACGTTCTTAGATGTATACTTTAACTACTGTCTGAAGGTCATTGCTGACAGTAAGTTTGTGTGCAGAGAGCTTTTCAAACTGCTGTGTACATTTTTTTTAACGTTTCGTCACCACTACTGAAACACTAAAGTATGATAATGTCTGCTGTTAGTTATTGGTTTGATTAATGGTTTAACAATGTGTGTATTGATTACTGACGCTGGCTGATCTAAAACTACAGAAGAACAATGAAAAAACAATGTAATTATATATAATAATGCAATAAAGTAAACTTTATAGTGAAAGAGCTGCTATAATCTTGCACCTTTAACTATAACTAAGTAGAAGATCTTTTCCACCAGTGTTGCAACTAAAACCGTGTGAATAAAATACGTTGTTCTGGAGGATGATTGACAGGAGCACTCACACTGACTGAGGTGGGCGGGACTTCCTGTTTGGAGATGGCAGCTTGGTAGAGGGCCATCCTGTCCCGGAGAGGAGTGGACTCTGCAAGACTTCCATCTGGTACAAAAACACAACACAATATGTTAAAACCTCACACATAGCTTCACACCCAGCAGCTTGTACTGATGTACTAATAGGAGTCCAGTTAATCGGGTTTAGATTTACAGCTGAGACTTTTAAGTCGCTAAGAAATGCAGCACAAATTCATTTTTTTTTTTACAGTCCATTAATTGTTTTCTGTATCACGACAACCGTTCCCAGTGGGGATTTATCTCTTTCCGGGTTCCCAGTTCAGCCTGAGTGCACAATGTGCTGGTTGGTTAGTCACTGAGGCTGTGGACGGGAACGTGAGGTCAGCAGTCATGTGCTGACCTCAGAGGTTGTCTCTTCCCGTCTGCTGATCGCAGCAGTTCTACAGCGGTCGGCCTCGTCACTTCAGGGAAGGATGTGATCCTTCTCCGAGAAACAATGCTGGATGAAGTGACTCGAGCAAAGGCTTTGTGAATGTGGGACCATTATTGGATATATTCAAAGCAGCTGTAATCAATATTTCCATGTTCATGGATCAGTGACGAAGCCACAGACGCTTACTAGACTGTTTGCTGCTGTTTCCAGTAAATAAAAAAAGCTCTAAAAACCAAAGATTGTAATTAAAAATGGACATCGTCTCTGTGGCGTCCCCCAGAGGTTACTGAAGAGCCGCTGTGAGGCTCAGTGTGGTCGGCTCTGATCTTGGCAGACCTGACTCCTAATCCAAAAATGGGCAAAGACCTAGTGACTGAAGCCTCGTTACTCAAACCTGTGACGGATTTAACTGTCACTCAGAGCGGCCACGCCCTTATTATACATAACTTTAAGCTTTAATATAATTTAAACAGGTGAGTTATGTAAAAACCTTGCGTACAGTCGTCATCAATGAGGAGATTAGCTACATAGACCAAGAGGCTGTAAACATGTTTATTTCTGCTGTTGGGCATTTTAATATGAAGCCTTACTGACTCACTGCTGGAGCCTCTAGTGGCCGTTTGTTACTTCTGTGTCAGCAGACAGACAGACCAGCTGGTGAAGCTAGTGGAGCCTTCAGCAGCTAAAGACAGACACATATTTCCCTCAGGAGTCGGTAGAGAACAAAAAGAACTCTAAATAAATGATAATGTTGCTCCACAACAACAAATTCACCAAATCATTAAAAAGGTGTTCATCTGTCAGGTTCACAACTTCAGAAACAAGTGGACCAAAACTCAACTTAAATGCTGCGTTAGGTTTAAATAAAACAGTGTGCGGAGGTAGAGAGGCAGGACCTGATCAGATTTATTGATTAATGGTCGGGATGTAAAGAGAATTCAGCAAATATGAAAAATAAATCTGATGCGTTCGAGCTGCTAAATGTTCCACTCTGTCCACCAGCTGTCTGTCTGCTGTTGAGTTCAGTGTACAGCAGGTAAAAACAAATAATCTGAATTTAAAATGTCTTAAATATCATTTTGACAGGTTTTAAATATTGATTGGATTAATGAAGTTAACGTTATTTGTTGGGAGAGATTTCTATTGATGTTGTAACAACTACAAATTAAATCTACATGGAACCAGAACAGATTTTCCTTCGTACTTACAGACAGTTCTTCAATCTGTCATTTTATTCTGCTATTTGGTTTCCTAATAACTTAAATGCCACATAGACAATTATGGACTATGAAAATTAGCACTGAATGTACAAATATAATGTCTGTGAAACATATCTGCTCAATAAATGACGTTTGTTAAAAACTGTATTCACAATGGTCTTTAAAAGTCTTTAATTTAACCTGCAGGAACCCTGAAAGCATCCTGACGAGGCTGGAAACCAGGTTGATGAGAGTGAACAAAAACATTAAAGCTGAGTACGAATGTCCTTATAATGGATAATAACCTGCACAAAGTACGTAACTGAACTCTTGGTATTAAATAGTTACATTCCAACAGCAAGTAGCAGCTCAGTAATGAAGCTCTTTGTGCTGCATATTGTATAAAAGGTGTCTGTATAAATAAAGTTCACTGGATGCAACGCAGTACATTGAAATAGTCAAATTCAAAAGATACAGAAACCTGCAGCGTCCTGTTGACCTAAAGGTTTAATGACGAACTTAAATATAATAACCTTAATTTATATTGGTGCTATACTGTACGTTGTTGCTCTCTCTGTTTCCTTTCAGCTCTAATAAAAACGCATAAAATTGCCAAGAAACACTTAAAATGAAACTATGTACCTCCTAGTAGCTGATCCATGCTGGCAGTGTTACCGTTGGTTCCTCTACTGGGTTGCTCTCTGGACACCTGCAAAAAAACCAACAAAAAAACTGTCAGATAACAGGCAATAAAACAAAACAACAGCGTCAGTGTGTCCTGCATGACCGAAGGCACACACACACACACACAGCCATCTGATGCTCACATGGTTCAACCAGTAAAGCAAACTGGCTGGAAGCAACGCTGTCGATCAGGAGGATCAAAGTGAGGAAGAACGAAGGAAGTGCAAAGACGTGGAGAGTATGTATGTGTGTATGTGTGTATGTTGCTTGTGTATGATGTGTATGTGTGTATGTGTGTAGTCCAAACCACTTTAATCCCCTTATGAGATCAGAGAGACGGAGCCTCAGACAGACACCCCGTCTGTCCACGGCTGCCAGCCAAAACAAACTGAACTGATCATTTCTATGTTTCTCAGGCCGTCCATTAAAATACACGACAATCTTGGTGTGGGTGTGTGGGTGTCTAAAAGAAACTGATCATTAATTTCTTAGAGCCTCAGAATAAAATAAAAAGGAGCTTTATCATTATTTTGTTGGTCTGCTGGAGTCTACATTAGCCAACAACCACTCCCTTGTTGCAAACCTGAGGACACACACACACGATTACACAATAGGTCAGACTGCGACTGTGATGCTTCGACACATTTAGCATTCGGCCTCTAAAAAGAGCCACAAGTGAGTCGCCTGCGTCAGTCCTGCTGCAGGAGGTTTGTGCAAAACAATAAATTTTGAACAGATTATTTCC